TGACGTATGTATGGGGTAGGTTTACTTTTCCTCCTCTTTATCTATACAGTCAGTGTAAAAACACAGCCTGTGGTAAGCACCAGGAGACCCTTACTAGCGTTTTAAATTCATTTTAATTAAATGGAAAATAAATGTGTTCTGTAGAAAACGAATGGAGCTATCACAACTAAGATTATAAAGAAACATTTCAGAAATCATTATGCCTCAGTTTCTTCACATTTTTTTTTGTAGTACCGAGGTTTGACTTCAGGGCCTTGTACTTGCTAGGTAGGTGCTGTACAACTTGAGCCACACCTCCAGCCCTTCTTCACATTTAAAATTTAGGAAAGCTATTCCAGGTGTCAGTGGCTCATGCCTCTAATCCTAACTAATTTGGAGACTGAGATCAGGAAGATCATGGTTTGAGGCCAGCCTGGCCAAATAGTTTGTGAGACCCCATCTCAACCAGTAGCTGGGTGTGGTGGTGAGGGCCCATCGTTCCAAGCTATGCAGGAGGCTGAGTTTGGCAGGATCATGGTTGCAGGCCACTCTGGGCAAAAAAAGTAGGCTATGACCCATCTCAATAGAAAGAGTTGGGCCTGGTATGTGCCTGTCATCCCAGCAGGAAATGCAAAACAGGAAAATGATCCAGGCTGGGTTAGGTAAAAAAACAAGACCCTATTACCAAAATAACCAGAGCAAAAAGGACTGCAGGCATGGCTCAAGCAGTAGAGTGCATGTCTTGCAAGTGCCAAGCCCTGAGTTTAAACCCAAGTACCACCAAAAGAAAAGTAGGAAAACTAAGATCATTGCCACCATTGCTCACTAGCAATGAATGTTATAACTTAAAAATTACTTTGTGTGTAGATGTGGAAAATATGAACTTGGTATCCATAAACAGAAATATTTATACATTCTTCCCACCCAGGAGCTGTAAATTATCTGAAACAAAAATATAATTAAACACAGAATACTGAAAATTTTCTCTTCTATTTTTGTGTATGTGTGGTGGTGGTACTGGGATTTGAACACTTGCTAGGCAGGTACTCTACTACTTGAGCCACTCTGCCAGCCCTCAGTTTAATTCTTTACTGATGACAGAGTCAGTCACTGAGTGTTACGTTTACAAGGAAATATTTCTTCTCTGTAACTGAGATGAAAAGTCTTACTTATACCATTTGGCAATATGGTTCATTGTACCTGAGCAAGTGAAAAATAGAAGTTGGTATTAGTACCAAGTTGTCTTCCTGTGGTTATTACTCCTTGGTGTGGGATTTGACTTATCCTCACACACCTGGACATGTATAGCCTTGTGGTTGATTTGTTGGACTCCTATCTTATATTTTGAAACAATGCTATTGGAGCAGTGGTGCTGTGTGCTAGGTTCCATGGTACCTGGAACAGAAATTCCCAAGTGCACCACGGGGCTCTTGCTCACTTGGACAGTGTCGAGCTCTGCACAAAGCCAGGTGCTGGGATACCTGTCTGGTCTTTCTCAGACTTTCTAGGGGAGCAGAGCAGCAGGTTCTATGTGTTATTGCTATCAGTGAGGGCCAGAGCCACCAAGAGATTTGGGTCCTTATGGAAAAAACAATGGGGGCTGAATGGCTATGTATCTTTATGTGGATTTGAGATAGGCAAAATATTACTTGGCCCAGGTGTCTTCTAGTCCACATGGCCTGTGGTTTACAACTTGCTTCCATGGCTTGCAAGCCACTCCTTCCTCCCCCACCTGGTGAGATCCCAGAGAGATGCAGTCTACTTCACTAAGAAGCTTACCCTCCAAGAAGCCTCAGAGGAGGCTTGTGCTATGGGAGGCAGCTGACCCAGGAGCTTGCATGCTCAGGACCTGCCAAGCTGCCCTAAGGGCTGAGAAATAGTATCTCAAGGCAAACTGTAGTCCAGGTGCAGCACACAAAAGAACAGTGAACAATCTGAGATCTCAACCTGCTTGCAAGCTAGCCAGCTGGCCACCACAGCTTCACTGATCTTGGCAACTCCTGGGTTGAAGGCAAGGACTTTATTATTCTGGGTACACCAGACAGCATGAGGTCACATCAGTTCCACTTGCCCCCACCAGGTAACATGGAACAGGCCCAGTGGATGTATTCTATATCCAGAGGAAGGCCAAGGTTAGAAAACTTCAGAAATCTAAGGGGAGGTGCTGTGCTAGCCAGCCTGTCCAACCTTTGCCCTGCAGGCAGGCAATGATCTTTTATTATTCTAGTTCTCCACTTAGACAAGCATCTTTGAAAAGACAGTCTGGGGCAAAGGCTGCACTTAATGTAGAAATGCCATAGAAAGCCGCCCAAACAAACCAGCATTCCCTGTGGCATCTAGGCAGAACAATGTGAGAGGGTAGGAGTGCCTTAGGGAAAAAAAACTGATCTCATGTGAGTTGACAACTTTCTGCAAGTTGCAGTCACTAGTCCTATTGTGCTGATGGCTCAGGAGCCCAGCTACCTCTCCAGACTGGTTGACAATGGGGCCAGTGTGAAGCCCTGGGTAGGGATTTGCTGATTACATTTGTCATATACAATGCTAAGCTGGTGAATATTTTAAAAATTTGCCTCAATCAACAAAAAGTATCCCTCATATTCTGTGGGACTAACTTCAGTAACAACTACCTGAGCTTTTCCATTCAGTGACTTTAAAACGTTTTCAGAACTGTTCATATTTTAATGTAGTGCTGTACTTCTTTTAGCCACAGAAAGACTGAAGTTTGTGTGTGTGGTACTGGGGGGCGTTGTTGAACTCAGGGCCTCAAACTTGCTAAGCAGGTGCTCTACGACTTGCACCATGCTCCCCAGTCCAAGACTGAGGTTTTTAGTGGACTATAAGCTGAGCATAATTAGATCTGGGGTAGTGAAAAATATGTAACCTATTAGAGGAATATATTGTCACCAGCTCCTAATTCCAAAAGGTTTCCAATCCCTATAGAAACAGAAATATTTTACAGGGAAGCTCTGAAGTGATGGCACACTCAGCACTATAGCTTGGGGCACTGCATCTCAAGTGGGGGTCTCCCATGGAAAAACTGCTTGTTGTCCTATTTACAGTTACAATGGACAGTGCTCAAGAGTTGGACAGGCTCAAATCCAGACTCTCTCTTCCGTTGTTGGTATAACTTTAAACAACTCACTTCATCGCTGGCAAGAAGGACTTCAAGTATGATTGCTGTTTGTTGAGAAAATTAAGTATACTATTGCAGGTAAAGCTGTACCCATCACAAGGCCTGGTACACAATGAGTTCTGGGGAAGTTGTAGTTATTATCAAGGTAAGTTATCTTGGAGCTGTGTGTGTGTGTGTGTGTGTGTGTAAAGGAATATAAATCCATTTTAAATCATACTCCTAAAACTAGGCAGATAAATTATAGTCCATGGATTAGATCCAACCTGAACTTTAATTATGTCAAATATTTCTAAAAATATAGACTCAATGGGCATGGCTACTAACTTTTACCCTCAGAAAATTAAAATAGCCCTGACTACTAAACCAGGCAAGGCCATGGTCAACATATTGGTTAGCATCTTCCCAGTCATCTTTTTATATACTTGATATATATTCAATTATACATGAGTACCTGTATAGAGTGTTAAATAAATAGGTTTATTCTGTAACACTGAACAATATTACTTAGAATGTTAATGCCAGTTATCTCCTCCAAACTCTTCAACTTACTCCTAAGGAATTAGTCTGAAATAATCATCATCTTACCTCTTTATTATCAGGGATATAAAGTTTACTTACCTAACTTCATTTTTGTAAGAGGGTCAAAATCTTTTTTGTAAGAGGGTCAAAGTAAAGGTTTTTTCATTAATGAAATCTCATTTTAGTAAAAATCCTCTTATAATTCCTCTAGCTTCTCTAAAATAACCCTGCGGTTGCTATTGTTCTATGGAAGTGCCTGGTCTCTCTCTAGGGGGAAAGCTGACTTTGTGGATACCTGCCAACTGGGTCGATATTATTAAGAGGTGGTAAGTATTAGTCATGTAAGATTGTGGCCATTCAGTCATATGTTTAATAACCCACTTACATAACCCTTGTTATTTAATTCAGATATTATGTTTGGCTTGTCTATCTTGATAATAACCCCCACCCTCAAACCAACTCAAATGTACACACCCAGTCAGCATGCATGAGTGCTGACTGACATGACTTCCAATGACTGTTTATTGAGCATCACCATACAACTGAGATTGTACAAAATGAAGTGGACATAGTCTTGCATAAGTGGCATACATTTCAGTTAATTGTGAAAGTTAGGAAGATTAACAAGTTCTATTAGTACTTTTCATAAATAGATTGGTTTCTGAAAATAAGTACTAAAAATTTTTTAAAATACATGTTGATCAGAAGTACAAACTAAAAACTTGTCAGAATTTACCTTTTACTTTCAAGTTTTTGACATATTTACTAACTCACAGAATCTGGGACTCAGTTTTTGAAGTTAGCAATTTCCTGGGGTAACTGGGAGGCAGAGTAATTATGAAAAATACCTCAATTCTTTGCAGAAAAGACTCCCTTGCATACTGATACTGATGAAACCCAAAATGTACTATTTATAGAGTCAAAGGTTTGACACCCATTAAAAGAAATACTCAGTGAAACACCATCAATTATATTGTTGTCACTAACAGCAAAGTCAATTATATGTATCAACTCAGGACTTCACATTCACAAAGCAGGCACTGTGCTGCTTGAGTCATACTTCCAGTCTGTTTTGCTCTGGTTATTTTGAAGATGGGGATCTAGAAAACTATCTGCCTAGGCTGGCCTCAAACCACGTGATCCTCTGGCTCTCAGCTTCCTGGCTGGTATATATTAATTTTAATAGTAGTTAAAAATAGAAGGAAAAGGTGAAAACTGAAGAATGTGAGTTACTTTTACATTACTCACACAGGAGCACTGGATTAAACATCTGCAGAGAATTTTGGTTTATTCCATAGTGGTGGGACCTACAATGGTTTAATTGCTCATCTCTACTCCCAAATGTCAAAGTGAAATGAAACGAAGCAAATTCTAAATGACTGTTTTACTTCACTTAAAGAAGTTACCTGTAAATAAGAAGAATCAATTGTGGCAAAAAACAGTCTGTAAATTGTAAACATACTGAGAAGGACATGCTCATGACTCAAACAGAACCAGCCTGGAGTCTGTCTCTCCTGCTGTGGATGAGATCAGACAGCTGCGGTGGTCAGCCTCATGGCATATCGCTCTTCACATCTCAGAGCATCTCTACAGGCTAGATGTGTGCTCACCAGCCTATACACGGGTCTGGGCAATCCCGCAGGTAAGTTTCATATTGACCTTTGGTAACATCCATCAACGTTGTGAATACAGTCAGCTGAAAGAAAAGTTATTTTTTAAGGTCGATGATAATTCTAAGATATTCTGACACACATTAGCATTTCTGTCCTGAAGAATTTGCTTTATGAAGCTACTTACTATTAAATAAATAATTATATATGAATATTAAATAATATGGTATATTGTTATTATACAATAATGTTAATAAAGCAACCAAATCAGTAGAACCATTATTCTGGGTCGAGAACACCAACAGATTGGGAGACACTGTTTTCCCAGTTCTTTACAGACACTAATTCCTGAGCACAGTATTGTTTTACCACCAGAGCTTTAAGATTCACTTAACTTTCTTCAGGGTGTAACTGGCAGTCACACAAAGCTAAGGATACACTGTCAAGTAAGAACAGTTTAGCTTTGGCTATCTTTATCCTCAAAGCATTTCAAATACAGTGGAGAAACTGTAGAAACATACACTACAAAGCATACCCCAGAGTCATGCTGTGGGTCACGCATACCATGTTAAGTCACTCTACCATGAACTCACATGGAGCTGGGTGTAGGCAAAATGAGGAGTGCTGGCAGGGTCAGTGAGCTGAAGGAAGGGTTCTGTCAGGAGCCAGGTTTTGATTGAAATACTAAAGGGCAGGAAGCTTTTGTTCTGGCAGGGGTAATGAACATATGTTTTAGGGAGAATCAGGCAAAAGAACCAAGAAAAAGAAGAGAAGGAACAGATGGGACAGTCAGGGGAGTATATCCAGGAATGACTACCAGCAGATACCATGTTAGGAAACTGAAATTTTCAGTTACGGTGGAGGGGGGAAAAGATAAAAGGATGCAATAAAGTTCAGGGGAAACCCTAACCTACTAAGACACGGACTTCTGTCTGAAAATAGACTTCAGATTTTGTTTAGTTGAGTTTTAGGGTTAGTGCAACAGTCCAGGATAGTGTGAGATTTCTGACAGGGAAAAGCCAAAAGACTAATGCTAGATTTAATCCAAATGCCATGGAAAGCTGAAAACACATGACCAACTTAGACATTAAGCCAAAGTGATCAACTTCTGCATAATACTGTAAAATTTATGGTTTTAGCCACACAAAAATGGTTTTTTAAAAAAATCAGCTTTAAACTGAACATAACTTCTAATCTCAAAATGACCTAAGATAACAGGGGAAAATAAATCATAGAACCAAATTCTTTCCCTAAAAGAAAATATATACATATATATTTTAAAATACCTTGTTAAGGACAGGTTTTGTTGACAGGACATCATATAAAGTTGCAAATGATAGATTCTAAGACACAAAAACAGATTTGCTCAGTAAGTTTAATACAGAGGGACAGCCTTATCCACACAAACAGATCTTTAGAAACCAAAACTTTTTAAGTCAACCTTCCTAAAGGAATTTCCCTTCGGGTCACTGCTAGAAAAAGGTGACAGTTCTAATGTATTACTTTTCCTTCTCTTTCCACCCCCAACCTTTTTAATTTTACCTGTTATTTAACTTCACAAAATGGTATCTAGCATTAGAGTAAGAAAAGGAAAAGTACAGCAAAAGTTTGCTATCTAAGTTAAATCAACAAAAGAAAAACTCAGTTGGGACTGTCTAGATATACTGAATAATAGGAAGTTTATAGGTTTTTTGAAGGCCAAAGACAAATGACAGAGCTAAGTTAATCGTTAATGGAGACAGTTTCTTTCTATATATGATAACATAATTGTACCTCTTGGTATGTGCGGTTTAGACAAATCTTTGCAGGTGTTCTGCGATCATCAAGGAAGAAGGGGTTTTTCCATCGGTCATAGTTTGTTTGGACCACATACCACCTACCCTTCTTAGGATTGAGTCTAGGTTAAAAAACAAAACAAAAAGAAAGAGAGAGCTGATGGAGTGGCTCAAGTGGCAGAGCACCTGCCTAGTAAACATAAAGCTCTGAGTTCAAATCCCAATACCACCAAAAGAGAAAGAGACAGAGAGAAAGAGAGATATTCCCATTAAGGCTTCATGCCTTAAAGATATAGCTATAGATATATATAGTCAGTCTAGGCTTTTGTTTTACTTATTTTGCCTTAACAAAAGTACTTACTCATATACATCCAAAGAGTCTTTTCTTTCTCGTGTAATCACACAACCCTCTCCAGACTGGTTGCCTCCCAAGATAAAGTATGCCGGGGCCAATATCTTGGTCTTAGTCAATATATTCTTGGCTTCTTCATAACTACATAGAAACATTTTTTAAAAAGTAAACAGTTTAGTTGATTTGGAATGAAAGTGTTTTAGGGGAAACAGTATCTACAGAACACACATGAGCAATGGTTCCAGGATGAACAATCCCCCATGTGGTGAAACCCTGAGATCTGAATTGGAATGGTAAAAGAAAGGGTTATGATATTGTAATTATGGTACGTAAGACTTAGGGAATAGAAAGTAACCTTAAAAATTAGGCCTATTAAAAATTGGAGTGGATTAGCAAAGAATACTCACTCTTATTCCCTAGGAAGTATTAAAAATAGGATCGATGCCCATGTATCCTATATTATTTGGCTACACTGTGGGCTGAAGGAAAAGCAGTTTTGCTATTATAAGAATTCTGCACCACAGCAAAATAGAACTTCTAGGTTAACATGTATTATTTAAGTGAAGATTTTATTGTACATGATTGTTTTTATACAAGACTCATAGGTGCCTTTTTCATAGTGTCAGTATCCATGATTATTAATTTCCTTGCTATGAGAACACACAACACACACAAAGAAACATGAATAATTCCATGCAAGTGTCAGAAATTCTCCTAAGAAATTCTGCAATAGCTCATCAATGGGTGTGAAGCTGGGGCTTGGGAAAGAGTTCTGTATTTTAATATGCGTAATTTAAGAAAAATTACGTATTTGATAATAAAGTAACAAATCACTTCACCTTGTACTATTTTCCAGAACTGATCTAGTAATAAACCCCACCCATTCGGCATCTCTCTTTCCCAAAATCCACTCTAGGATACCTGAAAGAGATGAAACACACAGTGTCACAGGACCTGGAAGAGGTTTTAGACTATTAGCCAGAAGACACAGTCCTCCTCTTAAAAAGACTGTAAAGTTTTCATTGTACTTCCAAACACTACTCACCCAGATAACCACCATCCATACTGAAACGCTCATTTAATGTAAGGCTAAACAGTCCCTGAGAAAAGACAAGGCAATGCAGTCAGAAATATCAACCATCCTCTTTAATGCCTTCTCTCTGGACATTATAGTGGTTGGATAGGGAGAATGTAAAACTATCATAATACCACTTTATCCCAACAAGGCTTTCCTGTAAAGTTCAAAGAATTTTTGCATCTACTATATGAGGTAAGTTTGGCCATCCTTTTGGACATGAAATGGAAGATCTAAGAATTCATGCCTGGTTTGCCTAAATGAGCAGCAGACCCAAAGAAGATTCCAGACTTTGATTCTCAGTCTTTGACAGCTGGTCACATGATCTTTAGCCTAAAGCAGACTTAGAAACCATTTCCTTTCTACTGTTCTGTGCCATGTGATCAAATACAGACAAAAGTGATAATAAGTACAGGGGATAAAATAGGACTTCATATTCTTTTTAGGTTCTCATTTTTAGACTCTACTCTTCTGTGTGTGTGTGTGTGTATAACTGGGGTTTGAACTCAGGGCTTCGTGCTTGCAAAGCAGGAGCTATACTGTTTGAGCTACACATCCAGTCCATTTTGTTCTGGTTATTTTGGTGATGGGGTCTCAGGAACTGTTTGTTTGGGCTGGTCTGGAACCTCAATCCTTCTGTTCTCTGTAATCTGTTGCTAGAATTATAGGTGTGAGCCACAGGTGCCCAGCTAGACTCTACTCTTCACAGATAGTAAAACCAGGACACAAAACTACCTGTAAAACTGTGTAAAAATAGATTCCTTACTGGTTTGAATCCTGTTAACATGCCCACATAACCGGCAAAACTTGACGCCTTGAAAACAGTTTTATTGTTTCTTTGGAAGTCCAAATTCACTGTTAAAGGTTTTAGTTCCTCAGTTATGACCCAGGTATTATTATTTACATTCCACCTACAAAAGACAATTTTGGTGACATTTAAGAATAAAGATGAAAACAATGATGATTAAGATGAAAGCAAGGCATTACCATGTCTTTTATCCACCTCATCACTAATGACCAACCCTAATAAGACCTTTATAATACAGGTGTGTTATGGATTGGATCTGAAATGTCCTCCAAATGCTCATGTGTTAAAGACTTGGTCCCCAGTGCTCAGAAGTGGGGCTCTGGGAGAAGGGATTGGATTATGAGGGCTCTGACCTTACCATTGTATGAATCCGATGGTAAGTTCATAATTTGATGAGCTACTGGGAAGGGAGTGGGTCCTTGGGGGCATGCCCTCTGGAGATATATCATCCTTGGCTCTTTTTTTGCTATCTTTTTGCTTCCTGAATATCATGAATAAGCAGCCTCCTCAGCTACACACTCTTACCAAGATAGTGTTCTGCCTCACCACAGTCCGAAAAGCAGTGAAGCCAGCTAACCATGGACTGAAATCTCTGAACCATGAACCAAAATAAAACTTTACACATTTTAAATTGTTTCTCTCAGGTATTTTGTCGCAGTGATGAAAAGATTACGAACACAGGGTGGTTTTATCCTGTTTTCCAGATAATAAAACTAAGGCTCAGAGAAGTTGAGTAACTCTTCCACTATCACTGACTATATAGTTAGCCCCAGATTCAAACGTAGGTCTCTAATTATAAAAACATTTATCTGTCAAAATGATAGATAGCAAAAAATGCACCTTTTCCTTCTAAGCAATAAGTAAGGCATTCATCTGTGGCCTTCAGGCATGGTCTTGATTTCTGTTCACTATATGCGACTTCTCAGAATCAAACTCCCAAATAACAGAAAGTGTGCTTATCTTTCTTGACACTAAAGAATCCAGTCATCTTCACTTATGGTCATATTTTGGCTATGACATGGGACTATGGTTTCCTCAAGGTAATACAATCTATACTTCTTACAAAATAACATATTGAGTTCCTTATTTACCCAAGAAATACTCCAAAATCCAAGTTTCTTCCATGTAGAAGATGACCTGTTTGAAAGTAAGCAGAAGAGACATGTAATCAGCCTTATGATAGTACAATGGGTTCTAAATCACAGCTGGACACTTATTTTTTGTTAATTTATATTCACAAGTGTTTTGTCTAACAGTAAGAATTAAGAAGCAACCTGGCAGCATAAGCCTTAATAAGATCAAACATTGGCCTGTGGTGCTGACATGTGCAAAACATACTCATACACACATTGAAGGCAGTTACACTTTTTTTTTTTTTTGGTGGGACTGGGGGTTGAACTCAGGGTTTCACATTTGCAAAGAAGGTGCTCTACTGCTTGAGCCACACCTCCAGCCCTACTTATTCTTTTTTTCTTTTTTTTAGCAGTATTGGAGCTTGAACTCAGGGCCTACACCTTAAGCCACTCCACCAGCCCTTTTTTGTGAAGGTTTTTTCAAGGTAGGTCTTGCGGAACTATTTGCCTGGGCTGGCATTGAACTGCGAACCTCCTGATCTCTGTCTCCTGAGTAGCTAGGATTACAGGCATGAGACACCGGCGCCCAGCTCCTACTTAAACTTTCTTAAAACACATTTTTTGATGGTGGGGTGTAGCTCAGTGGTAGAATGCATGCTTTAGCATGTGTGAGGCCCTAGGTTTAATTATCAGCCAAAACCAAACCAAAAGAAATTTTTCTTACACTGTCTGAAGAGTGCAGGCCCTAGCTAAGACCAGAATATGAGTCACTCTTTTTTTTTTTTTTTTTTGTGGTACTGGGGTTTGAACTCAGGGCCTTGTGTTTGCTAGGCAAGCACTCGACCACTTGAGCTCCAGCCCTAGACAATTTTTTTTGGCAATATAGGGCTTGAACTCAACAGTCATTATTTGGTCAACTATGACACGATTCTATCAGGAAAGAGATATCTTAACCTCAACTAATAAGACTTACTCAATGCTTCCCTCTAGGAATTGCACCTGCAGCTGCACACCTCAAGGGTTAGGTGTAGCCATACTTTATATCCATAACATAGGTCAAAAGTCAAGGTGAATCAGGGCAAGTCATCTTGTGCCTTATACTTTGGAAACCAGCCAGAAAAATGTTGGAATATGAAGCTGCTATACACAGTCTCCTTGGCTGTGAAATGACGGGAGGATGTTTGTTCTGAGCCTCTAGAAAAACCCATGTCATTATATGTGTGAATATAATGAAGTACCTCCTATGAGGATGTCTATCAAATTATGTAACGTTTCTAGTCCTGAAACACTTCAAGTTGACTACATGCCTGAACTGAACTTCAGCTGGTATTGCAGTGGTCTTAATTTTCAATGTAGTAATAAAATTTACTAAGATATATAAAGCTATATGCAACATACACAGAATTTAAATAGCAAGCTTGGATTTTAAAAGTTGTCATTCTACTTTTGTTTTTTTAAGAGTATTCCCAAATGTGGTATTCTGCATTATCCACCCACCTTCAGCACACATTACCTTTTTTGTCTTCTGTTATTATTGAGGTACACATGGTAAAAATTTCATAGAAAACATTGAATGAAATTATCTCTCCTGTGAGAAAAATGAGGAAAGTTTTTGTTAACACACACAGCCATAACCATGTAAGAAAAAACTCTTTGGTTTTGGTAGTGCTGACGATTGAACCTAGGACCTCACAATGCCCAGAAGGCACTGAACTATACCCCAGACCCCCAAAACATGTTTTAATTAAGAAACTATCTTCATTGTGCACATGCATGTTCTTACACATGTCAATTCCATAGACCAATCTGAGTGTGCTGACCACCTGGCCAGTGGGGGGTCCCTCACCACCTGCACTTCAGACTGACAATAAACAAGCCCTCAAAGAGGCAGTTATTTGGTTAGTTGAAATCTGAGTAAGTTGGAATTGTGCTACAACATGTCCAAAATTTTCATGAATACCCTTCATTTCAGATTTTTTGGGGATAGCTCAAATATGGTAATTTATCTCTCGTTTGTATGCTGCAAATGTATTTTGCCCATATTTTTAGCGTGTGACTAACATTTCCGAATGAAAAAGGAGAGCCAAGAAGTATCAATAAAATTAGTTCAGGGTTGCTAAGAAAATCCATTTTAGGGTATTTTATTTTTAGAATATTTTTCTAAAACTGTTTAATACTATTCAGCATTTAATCTAAAGGTATACAGCACAATTTGTTTCTATCCCATTTAAAGTTAACATTTTAAGCTTAGCATGTGTTTTTGCCCTAATCCAATGTTTATTTAATTTCCATTTAATGTCTATTTTGGTGAAACTCCATTCTTATTTTATTTTTGAGAACCAGAACCAATTTCATCATACAAATCCAGAAACAATGTCTATATAAAAAACTCAGAACTTGATTTGGTAACCAGAACCAAACTCTGATAATATACATTCACCATCATATCAAAGTTCTGTTTATGAACCAATTTGAAGCTTAAAGCACCCTCATAGATACCCTGGCTTTTACAGCACTATGAAATGACAGAGCAAGCCCCTTTATTTCCTTTTAAAATTATTGTTGTGCTTGGGGTCATTGTGACATTTACAAAAGTTCTTAAAATACAGCACATTGAATTCACTCCTTCCATCATTCTCCTTTATCTTCCCCCCCACTTGTTAATCATCTTAATCCATTTTTCTCTAAAGATATTTATATTTGGTAATGATTTTTCTAGTTTTTTTACATACAGGAATTAAAGACATACTTTTCATGTAGCCTGCAAATATATATTTCTAGTATGTCATCTTTTAAAATTATTTTTTAAAAGAATCAAAATCAATAAGTAAATAAAAAACTAGCCACCTTTGTTGAGAAGTAACAGAAATTTTCAATGAATTCTCTCGTAAAGCTAAAGTACTACTGGCTATATAAAACAATGAATCGACTCTACTGCTTTAGTAGTTTAAAAATAAAACTTCTGGGGTAGTGAGAAAAATCCTTTTCATTAAATGCTGCACACTGGAAACTGAAACTAAAAATAGCTTCCAAAAACATTAATACCTAAGGATAATTTCTTCTCTTCCCCAAATACCTCACACACACACACAAAGGTGAAGAGTTTGGTGAAGTCAGATTATCAGTTGTTTGGAGGCAGTTCTGTCTGTGAGGGGCAGGATGGAGCATCTTGGAGTGCTGGGGTTTTCTCTGTTTTGATCTGAGTTATGACGGCATGCATGGATTTTTAGAACTTGAGTCTGTGCACTTTGCTGTATGAGTATCATACCTCAATACAAATATGTTAAAGTGTTGTATTAAATGTTTTCAATATTGCAAAGTGAATTTTACCTAAAGGAATCCCAGTAACATCTGCAATTCCCTTCATCTCCTCTTCAAAAGGTCCAGGAATGTTGCCAAGTAGACCAGGCTGAAAACAAATACATTAATACTTATTTAATCTAAAAGCATGCTTTTGAGATATGGTTCTTTGACATATTAACTTATTCCAGATATTGCTACAAAAAGTGGTAAGAATTATTTTTAAAAGCGTTTTACACCATCTATTTAAAAAAGATTCTATGTAATGCTCTTTTTGGACCTCTACACAGAGACTTATGTGTCTCAGATTTTTTTTTTCTGGCTTTACTTTCCCCCAGTCTCCAGAGAGTGAGAACTGGAACCATTCCACCTGAATAACCTAACATGACCCACAACTCAAAGAGCAGTCAACTTTCTGCTCAGATTTACCCTCTAGCCTCTGGCATACACTACACTCACAGCAAGAAACACACTATTCTAGTGGTTCACAATATATTTTTTCATGGTTAATAATTTTGAGCAAAGATGCATTAACTGCATTCTGTTAGCAAACAACTATAAGCGAATTCAACGGTGGACATTGTACTTTTATTCTTAACTGCAATACTCACTAACATTGAGATCACAATTTAAGTTCACATCCTCTTGCTGAGACAAAGTGACTAAAGTTCACAAGTTCTCTTTTTCTGGATAATGTGATCTAACTAAGCATATTTTTCCTGTGAATTCAAAGCAATGCATAAATGTAGTGTTCTAGCCAGTTTAACAAATACAGCTTCGTGCATATTTATTAACTACGACATCAAACACGATGCTTTATACACCTATGTCATTTAATCCTCACAACCACCACATAAAATATGTATCATTAGTACCTAATATTCTTCCCAATGAGAAAACTGAAGTTCCAAGGTGTTCGACTGATTCAAGCCTTAAAACCCAATCAGTTCTGAAGCATGGCACCAAAACACTGCAATGCTGCTTTCCAACTAACATTTATAATAAAAGGGGAGTTAGAGCACATGGGGTATGTGGATGCCTATTCTTCTTTTGTTCCTACCAACTTTTATTTTGGGGAACTCTGGTAAGTATGAATATACAGGATAGCCTTAACCAAAAGCTAAGAATTTAACATGAGTTAACAGGTTTGATGGTTGGCAGGCACAAGTGTCATAATCTCTACAGAGGGGTCCAGATCATCCAGCTTCTAGGACAATGATTCTTCACCAGGGCAGTTCTGCCCACCAGGAGAGATTTGGCAATGTCTCAGGAAGTTTTTGGTTGTCACAACTGAAGATATTACCAGCATCCTGTAGGTAAAGGTTAGAGATGTTGCTAAAATATCCTAAAATATACAGGTTAGTTCCTATAACAAAAAGTTATTCAACCTCAAATGTCATTAGTGCCCCAAATCTGCCTTAGGGTCTTGACCTCCACACCCTGAAGAGAAAGAAGGCAATGAGGAATGCTTGGAAGGTTCTAAAGGCCAGGCCCTAAGACTTCCACTGGTTCCACCTACATTTAAAAGAAACTGAGATATGGAGTCTTCCTGAATGACTAGGAGGAAATGTAATGGTCTAGTGTTGCACAGCCATAAGAAGCACTCAACTCAATTGAGTTTTAAGGGTCACAGCTACTGAGGGGACCTGAAAGAATACAGGGCTGGGCTGAGGATGTCATTTGATCATACCCAAAGAAACCCGAGTGCCCTGAGATACTTGGGCAAAGTACGCACAGGAAAAAAAAAAATCAAGTGTTTTTGTTGTTATTGTTTTGTTTATGTTTTTTCTGATGCTGAGGATCAAACTCAGAGCTCCCCACATACTAAGCATGGCACTCTATCACTGAGTTACACCCTCAGCAAAAACCAAATATTCAATAGCATACTTACAAACCCAAGCATAAGGGCAAGTAATTCCATATTCCCAGATGAAATACACATACCTGTTCATTGCTCTGTAAAATAGTCTATACATCAAATAGCAGTTAACTGCAAAATGTGCCATCCTCTGTATCATATTACTCTAATATTAACAATGCCAAGAATTTAAGTCCCTCACGTTTTGGCAGTGGTCTAGAATAAATGCATATATACCCGAAGTTCCTGAGAAGTGGCTGAATTATTCCTTTACATAAGTTCCAGACATTCTGAACTCTGTGTGCACACATGTATGTATGTATGTGCTTAAAATTCATGGAAAATATTTCTTACCAACTTTTGATCCACTATCTGCATAATTTTTCCACTTGGCACAAATGTATTTACCATATTCCTCAGGGAATTCACTATAACTCTTATCTGAAAAAGTAAATAAAACACTTAAAAGATATAAAGAAGTGCTGAGACTTAAGATTAATATAGGTATAATGAAAACAGATATAGACCTTTTTTATTTACAGATATTTAGTTAAATCAAATAGAAAGTACTATTTGAAAATATTTTCAATTAACACATAAGGATAATTTTATCTTTCAAATATATTTGCTTTTTAACTACTTAAAAGAAGGGAGATTTAGAGATGAATCAACTTAGAATGTAACACATTTATACATGGAAGCAATGCTAAGAATCTCCCTACTGTATAGTTATCCTTATCTCAACTAGCAAAAACGCTTTGTCTTTCTTATTGTTGTTTATACTCTCTCTTCAACAAAATTAGAGATAAGGGCAGAACAGATTCTGCCTGAAAGCGAGGGGGGATTTGGGGGAGAAATGGCCCAAACAATGTATGCACATATGAATAAATGAGAAAAAAAAAGGGAGATGATGGAAAGTGAAAGAATCAGAAGGCAAAGTCTCACAAAAAAGAATAAGAAGTTACCTTTTCCTCTATCACTACTGAACACAGCAGAAAAATATTAAAAACACCTTTCAACTATTTGGTGGGTAATTTCATGAAATGTTTTTTTAAAAATATAATTATATTCAGAAAAGTAGAAAGAGAAGATTCAAGAATCATTGCATACCATTGGTGCCTTGTGAGTCATTAATTCATGCCATCTTTTGTAGGGTGGTAAATCAAGATTTATGGTGTACCATGAAGTTGGTCCTCTGTAGCTGTAAAGAGAGGTATACTATTTTGAAATACTGAAAGTTGTTTTTTGAGGGGGTTAGACTAGACAGCTATATCTGTAAGGATAAATTTGACATTTATTCTTTTTTTGACATATATTCTTAATAGAAATTGGTTACTCAAACCAAAATTTGTAAAGAAAGTGCTCACCTTAATTTGCATCCAGTGCTTCTGCCCTCCATTGCACATTACAGAAATCTTGGAATGGAATTATACATTCTGAACATGGTGTGGTGGCATATGCCTGAACCAGCAATTGGGAGGCTGGGCTACATATTGATAACCTGTCTCAAACACACACACACACACACACACACACACACACACACACACGAATTATACATTCTGAATCTGGAAGGATAATATAATTTGGTGATATGTAAGAGAATCAATTGTGGCTCAAGAGCTATAACCTAAATATTGCTGATGGAAAATATCTACCTTTCTTTTTTCTTCCTAAATATCTGATTTCGTATAGGATTTACTCCAGGCCTGGACACTTCTCTAGTTGGTTTTCTAGTCTCAGAATTCTCTCTTGATCAGTCTAACATGATTGCTAAATCTTTCTCTCTAGTGATGGTCTCTCAGTGAGGTCATCTCTTAAGCCCCAGAGTGGCAACAAATATGAGCTTCCTATGATTGGCTTCAACAACCGTTATGATTCTCAGAAACTCATCTTCCCCAGTATATACTTCTTTTCTTTTCGTTTCTTTGTACTAAGTCCAAGGCCAAGTACTATTCTGTCATATCCATTCTCTAACTTCCTACTCTTTAACTTACATACAGTAATTTATACTCCCTTATCTATGGAGTATTTTTTCAGTGGACGAACTGAATGAATGAATACTCCTGCTCATCATTTCCTGGCACTTTAACTAAACTGAAATTGCTGCTAAGGGTGTAGCATCCAGTGATTTATCAGTGCAAAGCTATACTTAAAAACAGTCATCATTAGATTCCTTATTGCTCTATTCTAGAGAAGGGTAGGTATACTCTGGTGTGTGTTGCAAAATTACCAGGCTCTTAAACCAACATGTTACCTAGACTTTTGTCTAGAGCAAGGGATGGGTTATTTCCTAAAAATCAACTGCTGTGGTCTTTGTATACTACTGTCATGAATATTTGTTTCTCTAATTAATGAAGCTGAATTTCGGGACCCATAAGGTTTTATGAAACTTAACCAGCAGCAATTTGTGTTGTGATTTAGGTAGCAAACAGAAGCATACTCAATTTTGGAAACATACATTTAAACAAATCACAATGAATGAATTTTGTTCTTCTCAAAGCATTTTCAAGTTCCCCAGTTCCTTAGTATCTACATGAAATGCTATACTTAAATGTTAGAAAAAAAGCTTTTCATCACAACAAATTGTTTCACTGCCCATAATTTCACATGCAAAATTCTGTTCCCAGTTCAATAATATGTTACCCTTGTTACGGGCAGATGCTACCAACCTTCCCTATCCATAAGCAAGCATTTGGGTTTCCATGTCTAGTAGCAATGACAAATTGGTGGCCCACTGGAGCTATGCGTGTTGGCAGCACTGTCATAAGATATATGTTCTACATATGAACTCCAATCAGCTGTTTCTTCCCTCATGACACCCAAGAAAACCATCATGTCCCTACAACTGCTATGAATTCCAGGTTATCTTTCTGTTCAGAGTCTTGGACATTGTTCAAGGATTTCAGGGAGGAAATGGACAGGAGTTTACTACAGGAAGGAATTACAGTTTTGTAGAAATGGTGAGATCTGAGAAACTTTATACTATAACTTCTGCTAATCAGAAGTTTTTGAGAACTGGTTTATCTGATTAACAAAATTTTTATAATGAAAGTTTAACATAATCCCACATTTTACCTTTCAATAAATATTTTTCTGCACCTCAATTTCCTATAGAAATAAGGAGAGCAATGAGGATTACATTAAATATGAAAAAAATACTCAGCAGCACTGGTGCTCAAACAATAGCAATCACCATAGTATGTCTTCCTACTTTACTAAAAACAGTAAGTATCGTTGCAACATTTTTCAGATTTAGCATTTGCTATGTCCAGGTGATCATAATGTCAATCAGATGAGTCCACATGGTTCTCCAGGTGGTATGGAAACTAGTTCAAGTGACACAACACACACATGCAAATAAGAGAGCAGATGCTAAGCGCCCAGTGAGCAGCAGAAAAGAAATGCTTAATGTGACTTGGATGGATACAGATGGTGTGGCTATCACTCCCTGAATGTCTGCACTGATGTGACTGGTCAGGCAGGATGAACGGGTGTCCCTTTCCTCCTTCACACTTGCCTTTGGATGCCACCAAAATTTGTACGCTTGATTGAAAAGGATGACCTCACAAGGACAGAAAGACTGCTTGTCATTCAAAGATACATGAATGTGATTTTGTCTCCTAGACACCAAGATTCATTTATACACAGTTCAGCAAAGAGAAGGATCAGAGCAGAGCTGGATATTTTGGTATAGGAAAAAATGATAGTGAGGTAGAAGAAATCCAGCAGAAATAACAAGGTAAGCTCGCTTTCTGCTTCCTCCCTAAATTCTCCCAAAACTAATGAACCAATAAAGAAATGGGCAAGTGAACTAAACAGAACTTTCTCAAAAGAAGAAATTCAAATGGCCAAAAAATACATGAAAAAATGCTCACCATCTCTAGCAATAAAGGAAATGCAAATTAAAACCACATTAAGATTCCACCTCACCCCTGTTAGAATAGCCATCATTAGCAACACCACCACCAACAGGTGTTGGCGAGGATGCAGGGAAAAAGGAACCCTCCTTACACTGCTGGTGGGAATGTAAATTAGTACAACCACTCTGGAAAAAAATTTGGAGGCTACTTAAAAAGCTAGACATCGATCTACCATTTGATCCAGCAATACCACTCTTGGGGATATACCCAAAAGACTGTGACACAGGTTACTCCAGAGGCACCTGCACACCCATGTTTATTGCGGCACTATTCACAATAGCCAAGTTATGAAAACAGCCACGATGCCCCACCACCGATGTGAATGGATTAAGAAAATGTGGTATCTATACACAATGGAATTTTATGCAGCCATGAAGAAGAACAAAATGTTATCATTCGCTGGTAAATGGATGGAATTGGAGAACATCATTCTGAGTGAGGTTAGCCTGGCCCAAAAGACCAAAAATCGTATGTTCTCCCTCATATGTGGACATTAGATCAAGGGCAAACACAACAAGGGGTTGGACTTTGAGCACATGATAAAAGCGAGAGCACACAAGGGAGGGGTGAGGATAGGTAAGACACCTAAAAAACTAGCTAGCATTTGTTGCCCTTAACGCAGAGAAACTAAAGCAGATACCTTAAAAGCAACTGAGGCCAATAGGAAAAGGGGACCAGGAACTAGAGAAAAGGTTAGATCAAAAAGAATTAACCTAGAAGGTAACACACACGCACAGGAAATTAATGTGAGTCAACTCCCTGTATAGCTATCCTTATCTCAACCAGCAAAAACCCTTGTTCCTTCCTATTATTGCTTATACTCTCTCTTCAACAAAATTAGAAATAAGGGCAAAATAGTTTCTGCTGGGTATTGAGGGGGTGGGGGGGAGAGGGAGGGGGCAGAGTGGCTGGTAAGGGAGGGGGTGGGGGCAGGGGGGAGAAATGACCCAAGCCTTGTATGCACATATGAATAATAAAATAAAAATAAAAATAAAAAAGAAATAACAAGGTAAGGAAAGAAGTATACATACCATGACATACACACACACACACACACACACACACACACATACACACACACAAAGCAATATGGAACTAGTTAAGTACCCATCAGGGAAGGTTTACAGTCTGCAGAGCAATCAATTCATAGACACGTCAAGTACACATAAAAGGGAGGAGGAAAGAATGCCTTCAATGTGGAAGGTATTCAGTAAATGTTTGATGAATTGGGGCAGTGACAACAGCAAAGAGACACATCAATAAAGCCAGTATGGCACTAGTGGCAACAGAAAGGACTTCTGAAAGCAGGGCAATGAGAAGTGAGCTGGATGGTGCATTGGCTTGAGGATAGCATTAAAATTGGTTACCTCCAAATATTGATGCAAAGGTGAAATCAAAAGAATTTGGGGGCTAGACATCATGGCTCACACCTGTGATGCCAACTGCTCCAAAGGCAGAGCTCAAGACGATCATGATTTGAGGCCAACCCAGGCAAAAAAGTTAGCAAGACCCCATCTCAGCAAATAAGCAGGGCATAGTGGTTCATAACTGTAATCCCAGATATCCAGGAGGCACTGGTTAAGACTGAAGCCTGAGGTCAGCTCTGTACAAAAAGTATGAGAATCTATCTGAAAAAATAATCTAAGTTATAAAGGGCTGGAATTGTGGCTCAAATGGTGGTGTACTTGCCTAGGAAGTACAAGCTCCAGCACTGCCAAAAAGAAAAAAATTAGAAAAAGAATTTGGGTTACTGCAATGCAATCAATAATAATTGATAATCAGTAGTAATCACATAGCATGTTTTTCTACTTTATCAAAAGCAATAAATATTCTATCATCATTTTTCAGACTTAGCATCTACAATGCCCAGGTTATCACATCAATTACACTGCCTGGGGGCACTGCAGGTGGCTTGAAAATGAGTCCAGGTGACACAACATATGTGCAAACAAGAGAGCGGATAGGAAGTACCCAATGAGCAGCAGAGAAGTGCTTAATGGGATATAGGGTGATATCCAGTGTCTCAAGGTTACTGGCACAGAGGTTATTTAGTACATACAACTTAGGAAAGAGTGGTATAATATATATAATTTGTAGTGCTGACAAAAACTGCACATCTTACCATTACTGGTTAAAGTTGCACTGTCTTCTCCTCATCCCCAACAAGAGGGAAGAATAGGACAAAGACCATTCTGTACACCTTTCCTTCTTTTCTACTCTGTGCCCTTAGGACCTATGAGCTGCTGTCTTTCTTATAGGCCCATTTTGCCATGAAGTACTGGAAAGATAAAAAATTTAGACTAAAATAATGTCAGACATACTAAAACAAGATATTGGTCCTTCTCTTATGTTTCCCAATCCTGTTATGTCCTCAACAGTTTTATCAAACAGGTTCATCCACTGAATGTCTCACAAATGAGGTCCTGTGCTTTTCTGTTTCAGTGTAATTTGGGAGCTTATATCCAGACACCAGAGAGTCACAGCTCAGTGTGTACACAGTCCATGCATTTGTCTTAGATGAGAAAAACACTTGCTGGCAGACAGGAGAATTTAGAGAAGAAAGCAAAACCTTTTGTTTCCTATAACCTTTACAGGCCAGAAATGGACATTTTTTAATCACAGATTATTTGCATATTTGTCTAAGATCTTAGCCAAATGCCTAAGTACAAACCAAGGGAAATCAACCCTTGTCTCAGGATAGAAGGAAGACATAACTGAAATTTCTATTCACTATCATTATTTTTATGAGAGAACATACCATACAGAAAAATCTCTGCACAGATCAAAGTGAGTTTTGATTATCTGATGTTTACTCACGTTGGTCCAGAAGGAGGATAAGTTGATTTTTTGCAGTCTTCTGTCCACTAAAAAGACAAACAAAAACATTAAAAGTTTCAATCATAAATGCTTACAAACTGAATAGGCTATCTGAAAAAAAAAAAACTGCAGTTTGTAAAGACAAAAGTCATCCTTTTAGACCATTTCGATACCTTTTTGAAAATGTGTTTATTTTTGAGACAGGTTCTCACTATGTAGTCCAGGCTGATCTCTAATTCAAAATCCTCTTGCCTCTGCATCCTGAGTGCTGGGATTACAGGCATCCTTGGTAAGGGACACAGCACACATGTTCAGTTCAAAACCTTTCAAAGAGGAAAGCCTTTCCTCTCAAGAAAACTTCTAAACTATTAAGGTCTCAATACAATTTTCACAAGTGCCAGCTGTTCTAACTTGATTCTTTTATTACAAATATATTTAGTGAAAAACTAATGTAAGAAGGGAGATGGAAAATCTTTCTATTAGATGGGCTGACTTATCAGTAAATGACTTGATAGGATATACTATTACCTGAAATTCTTAGTCAACTCTATTGCAACCCGCCCTGGGATTTGCATCTCAAACCAGATTTTCAGGGCATACTGCACAAGGCCTGTGACAATCTGGCCAAAATATAACCATCCCAGCCTCACCCCCAACACTCCTCTTAACAGTCACAGCCACACGCGAGCACCCTCATGCTGGTGTGTGTGCCATGTTCCCTACCAAGGATGCCTGTTCCCTAACTTGGTGAACTTCTGGTTCTATCTTCTAACATTTAGTCTGAATACTTTTTTTGTGTGTAAAGTCTTCATCTACCTCCAAATATTCATGCCCTCCTCTACACTCCCACAGCATTTGTACACATCTCCATGACTACAGCATGACATTTCACTGCAATATGTCTCTGCAGTACTAGACTATAATCCTTGATGTGAAGGCAGCCCCAACATTGAGGTCACTGCCTGAAACAATGAGTGTATGTGCATGAGCCTAAGTTAGGGAGGCCAAGGTGAATTTTCTCCTAACACAATTATCCAAAATATCCATTCAAATTTATGATTCTTTTATTACTGGCTCCAGAAGGCACCTGTGTTGATCTACCCTTTTTCAGAATCCCAACACTATAAAAGTAAATTTTTTTTTGTGATACCAGAGTTTGAACTCAGGGCTTCCCACTTGACCATTTGAGCCATGTCTCCAGCCCTTTTGCTCTGGTTATTTTGAAGAGAGAATCTCACTTTTTTGCCCAGACTGGCCTGTATTATAATCTTCCTAACTTATGCTTTCCACTATTATTGGGATGACAGATGCATGCCACTATACCTAGTTTGTTTGTTTTTTTCCCATTGAGATGGGGGTCTCACTAACATTTTGCCAAGGCTGTCCTCAAACAGTGATCTTCTCAATCTCAGCCTCTCAAGTAGTTATGTCTACAGGTATAAGCCACCAGCACATGACTTATTTGTTTTCTTAAAAAATATAAATCTATAACAAGAGAAGTTAGAGTAGCAAAGGAAACTACTGGAATGTAGTATGAACTCAGAAAATATATCTGTTGTACATTTGTGCAAGAATGGAGCTCTTAGGTCTTGTTTTAACTTTTGGTAACACTGGGAGTATAAATCACATCATTTGTGATTCAAACATTAACTGTTGTGAAAATGACCCTACCACAGTATAATTTTATAACTATGGGCTTGTCTTGTAATTTGGGGTTGAATTAAACAATATTAAATTTGTAGTAAAAGCTGACTTCCAGTAATGTTCAATAATAGTAGTTAACAAAAGTTCTTGTTAAAAAAAAAATCAGTCTCAGCTCTGAGCTTGAAAACTGCTAAGTTTTGCTGTTACCGTGTGTCTATTTCAACTGCTCTGTTATATGGAGAATCCAGCTTCTATTTCTGATACAAATTCACAGAAAAGATGACAGTTACCTCTACAAGAGCAAATGAGGTTCAATAACACATGACAGATTTCAATATTTACCACAATGTTTCATTCTGACAATGAAAAATAACAACCAACATAAACTTAAACACTTGCATTTTTTCAAGTTTTGTAATTTGCTCCAGTCAGCTGTTTTCTGCTCACAGATATTTTTACCACTACCAATTGTTACATATCGTAGCACATAAGAACTTCATGTTGAATTACTATTTTCTCAACTTCTTTGAAAACATAATTTTTAAGTAAACTTTACAGAAGCAAATTCTTCAGGCATTTCAAACTTGGCACTGATCTTCTAGTAATTACCAACAATTGATCAGAATCAATACTTTAAGAGCCCAGGAAACCACTCAAAATAATTTTCATTTTTTTTTGTGGTACCAGGGATTGAATGTGGGTTCTCACACATGTTAGCAAGCACTCTACAACTAGCTAACATCCCCAGCCCTTTCTTAAAAAACTTTAATTCAGGGTCTCACTAAGTTGCCCAGGCTGGCTTAGAACTTGTGATCCTCCTGCCTCAATCTTCTCAGTGCTGAGATTACAGGAACTAAGACTGAAGTTGCTCCTTAAAGTTACAGACAACTGTTCTCACTTAAAGATAGGTGAAACGATTTTCTCTGACTCATTTCTTATGCTGCTACAAGAGATGATATAATTTAGTTAACTCTCCATTGGTAAACGACTTTCCACAGTTTGCTAAAAAAAAAAAAAAAAAAAAAGATCTACTTGGAGCCAGGTGTAGTGGTGCATGCCTGTGATCCCAGCACTGTGCAGCCTGAGGAGGAAGGAGGATGGCAAGTTAGAGGCCAGCTGTGGTTACATAGTGAGCCCCTAACTAAAAAAAAATAAAACTACTCAGAGATGTACTCTCATTTTACTTTAAAAAAATTTTAAGTATATTCTGCTATGATGAGACATTATAGTTTAAGTTTTCTTGCTTTTCTGACAATTACTTTCCAATGAGTTGGGAATACTGTGATTAGTGTTTAATTTGGTAATGTCCCCATGTGTTCTTTTAGGACAATTCCACTGAAAAATAGTAACAATGCTTTGCCATCTAATTCAATTTCAAAGTAATCCACATAACACTTTGCCCCAAAAGCACATTTGAAGCTCACTTTGCTCTTGTTCTGGCATGGTGGATAAGCACTGGTAATTTTTCTCAAGATATATTGATACATATGGCTCTTAAGATGGTATTGAGGGTAGATCAAAGATCTTATTGCAAGATCTGAAACTGTGAAACTATTACAGGAAAGAACAGAGAATACACTGGAACATATAGGCATAGGTAGTAACTTTATAAATAGTACTCCGATAGTTCAGCAACTAAGAGAAAGGACTGACAAATGGGACTAAATCAAATTAGAAAGCTTCTGCACAGCAAACAGTCACTAGACTGAAGAGACAGCCTATAGAATGGGAGAAAAATCTTTGCTAGCTATACATTTGACAAGGGATTAATTACCAGAATATACAGGGAGATAAAAAAAAAAAAAAAACTAGGCAGGTGCTCTGGTGGCTCACACCTGTAATCCTAGCTACTCAGGTGGCAGAGATCAGGAGGATTGTGGTTCAAAGCCAGCCTGGGCAAGTATTTCACAAGACCCTATCTCAAAAAAACCCATCACAGAAAAGAGATGGCAGAGTGGCTCAAGGTGTAGACCCTAAGTTCAAACCCCAGTACCTTAAAAAAAAGACAAAGAATCAACAACCCACTGAATAAATGGAAAAGTAAACTGAACATACCATTCAATTCCCAAAAGAAGAAGTACAAATGGCCAATAAATAAATTAAAAAATGCTCAGCATCCTTGGCCACAATTGATGAACAGATTAAGAAAATGCAGTACATGTACACAATGGAGTATTATTCCGTCACAAAGAAGAATGAAATTCTATTGTTTGCAGAAAAATGAACAGGGAACTGGGATCATCATGTTAAGTAAAGTAAGCCAGGCTCAAAAGTCAAAGTTGAGAAGGAGAAGGAACACGATTGTAACAGTGGCTCTGCATGAGGGACTATGGGGAGGCAGAAATGGAAAAGACAATGATAATAATATTGAAACACAATGCCTTTGTGTATGAAGACAGTATAACACAACACCCTAAACTGTTGAATAACTGGGAACAGGGAGATGGAGAAAGAGTAACTCACAGAAGGAGAAGGGGTTAATCTGATTAAAGTACAATACGTACATATGTAAAATACGAGTTGAAACCCCCTTGAACAATCACAAAAAAAAAAAGATAGGAAAATAAAACAGGTCCCATCCTGATGAAATTGTTCTAAGAAGGGAGAAGGAGGGATGACGGAGAATGATGGAGGGGTGAATTTAATTAAGATATATTGTAAGCACATTTGTAAATGTCACAATGAATCTCCCCATATAACTAATATATACTAATAAAAAAGAAAGACAGTATTGAGGGTTTGCAGAATAGCTCAAGTAATAGAGTGCCTGACTAGTAAGCACAGGCCCTAAGTTCAAACCTCAGTACTGCCAAAAAAAATAAATAAATAAAAACAAAGGCAGTATTAAGAAATATATGATGCAAATAAGAAATGGTGGCAACTACAAGAGGAATTCACCATGTTTGGTCTCCTCTTCTAGTAAAAGAAAAAGCAAGCAAGCAATTAGAAACTCCAGGAGACAAATCTGTACAAATAAGGCATGATAATAATATGAATAAACTAAAATGGTACATGATTTTAGTACTGGGGTTTTAACACAGGGCTTCATGCTTGCTAGGAAGGCATACTACCACTTGAGCCACAGCCCCAGTCAACATTTGAGCATTTTTTAACAGCCACAGAATATGGGCTTTATTTATAGAAAAATAAAAGCAATCATAACACACTGAACAAGGACTAGTTTTTACAATTTAAATACTACTTACTGTTTTCATTTTCAGTTTTTGAAGCAGACACAGAGAACACATGGAAAATGGAATTATCATTATAATGATGTTATTAACATTGACTAAGCAAGAGTAAAATCATCTAGAACTGAACAAGGAAAGTGAGAAAAAGGGAGAGGGTACAACGATGTCTGCAGGTTCTAGCCAGGGCAATTAGGCAAGAAAATGAAATAAAA